GGGTGCAGCCTCCACCTCCGGGGGGGGGGCGCTGGAGGCGGGGCCGGCTCGGGGAGCGAAAACTGGAATGGGAGAAGGACGGAGGCGGAGACTAAGATTGGAACAAGACACTCTCGGAACATTTATTGTCTTACAGAGACAATTTCAGAGAAAAGTTGATGAGTGTCTGAATGGGAGAACTTTAGGTGGTTCAGGCTAAGGGAACGTTCACTTGGCCCAAAGGAAACAGATGGTCAAAATTCTCATGAAGCTTTTTAAAAGTGGAATTTTCTTTTTTTTTGCTTTATACTATTTGAATATTATTATTTGAATTTTTACTGCAAGCAAGTTTTGCTTAAAAATGTTTGTGTATTAAATTTTTATTTCTAAGAATAAAAGAAAATAATAGGCCTTTTAAAGACAAAGAATGTTCCATTGATGTTAGTTCTCCAAGGAGGATGAGGAGCCAATGCTTTCCAGGAGGTCAGCAGGGAAGTTTGGGAAACTGTCCGAGCAGGTGCTCAGCAAATGTCTGGAATGGCAGTCACCATGGAGCCTCGCTGAGGGGACTCTGGGCAGGACGTGGCAGCACAGAGAGACAAGCCTAACCGGTCCTTAGAGATATGGCTGTGTCCTGCGAAGTGAGAGGGAGTGGGTACAAGTGGCCTTCCCAGCTACTGAAGGGGCCAGGGCAGGAGGGCATGTAGGGTCCTGCATAGAAAGGGACCCTGGAGGCAGAGGGGTGAGGTTGAGGGCATGGAGTTTGCAGGAGGGATCCCTCAGAAAGCCTGTGGTCTCCCTCTTTTATATCTGGCCTTTCTGGAGAATAACATCCCTACCAGAGGATTCTCCTGCTATAGGACCAGGCTCACCCCAATGGTAACTTCTGGAGCCCTGAGCTCCCCTTCCTGCAGACTGTCTGAGCTGGGAGGGAAGCCATAGCTACACTCCTTGCCTTACCTGGTGGGAGGGAATGCCTGGTACCTAAGAGGGCTCTTCTGAGGCCAAGGGGCTATTTGAGAAACCAAATGGTTCACAGCTTGGCTCTGTCATTTATAATTATAGCTATTATTTATTGAGCACATACTATGTGCAAGACACTGTTGTGAGCTCTTTGCATATATGATCTGATTATTAGCTGTAGGAATACAAGCAAGTCACAGTAGCTCAGAATCCATTCATTAACTGGGATATCTATTGCATGGTATTATAGAAATATTATAAACCACACTTCTCAAACTTTCCTGTGCATACAAATCACCTGGGAACCTTGTGTAAGTGCAGATTCTGACTGAGGTCTGTAACGCGGCCTGACATAGTGCCTTTCCACCAAGCTCCCAGCAGATGCTTGTCCAGGAACCACACTTGGAGCAGCAAAGACATAGACCACAGTGCTTGGCAGTTGATAGGGACTCAGGAAATATGTGTTGAATGAATGATTAAATGACTTATTAGGAAATACACATAAACTATAAAGTGTTGTGCAAACATATGCAATCATTGTTCTTAGACTATAAGGCCGGGGAATCCGCCTGGAAAAGGCAAGTAGCTGGAAGAGTAACTCTGTAGAGTAGTGGGTAAGAACACAGCTCCCACCCCAGACTGCCTGGGTCCAAACCCCACCTGCAGCTGAGAGAGCCTGAGCCAGTAATTTAACCTTCCTGTATCTCAGTTTCTTCATCTGTAACGTGGAGTGCAATGCCTGCCTCATTGGGTTACTATGGGATTTACTGAGATGATTCTCATACATCTTTTAGCATTGGGCCTGACATATAGCAATAACTATACCTTTTAGAAATTATTATTTTTCTGCCTCCAGGATTGGGGCAGCCCCTAAATCCAGAGGATCCTGGGCCCCAGCACCACGTGGGTCACTGCCCAGCTTTCTAAGGGCCATGGAGCAAAGTGTTCCGCCTTCCTTTGTGCTCCCAGCTTCTCCAGCAGGTTAGAGTTGTAGTGCACATGGAAATAGATTAAAATGCAACCACCCCAAAGAAAGCAAGAAAGGGAGTGAAAGAGAAAAGCAATAGGACTCAGGGAGGAATCAAATTGCTGCTGAAGGTTTAGGGATTCCGCAGCCCACAGAGGGGGCTCATATGGCTCTAGAGGCACCTCGGGGGCACCTTGGGCTAAATGAGGCTCCGGGGTCTCTTCCAGATGCCCCTCTTTTTTTGGGAATGTGGCCGTGAACAGCAAGCCCTACTCCCCAATGGCTCTAGGTCCTTCTTTCATCATGTTCAAGTTGGGAGAATTTGGAAGGATTCTTCTGAACTTCTGGAAAGACATGGAAAGACTCTAGACTCAGGGTGTGCAGGGCTCCCCAGCTTGTAGATTTCTGCTCTTTAGGAGATGCAGGGGCGAGGTGGGAAAGCCCAGATTCTGGAGTCAAATAGTTGTGGTTTGAATCCTGATTTGCACTTAGCTCTCTGACCTTCAACAAGTGACTTAAAATCTATGGGCTGTATCTTCGTGTGAAAAACATAATTGGGAGGATGTGTGAATATTAATATTTTCTGTGACTATATGAAGCTACCAGCAGTGTCTCACATGCAGTAGTGCCCAATGTAGGTGCTTTTTGTTAGCAGAATTTGGGGGCTGACCCCGGGTTGACGGCTTGAAAACTCAGGCTACACTGGAGGCTGAAAGGGAGAGTAGGAGATCGTGGGCGCCCCCACATGGTGGGCGCATTAACTGCAAAGATGGTGCCTCCTTCAATCTCAGGGCCTTCCTAGTGAGGGTGGGTGGCCAGTGAAGGCTGCTCTTCCTCAGCCAGCTCTGTGGCTTTGGGTAAGTTCCCTCAACAGCAGGAGAAGGGAGATTGGACCAGATGATCTCTGAGATCCCTTATGATCCACAAACAAGTCAGGCATGGTATCCCACCAATCCAGACTTCCTTTTTCTTAGCAGGGTTCAGTTTTCTTTCTGGTCTATTCAATCTCCCAGACCAGGTATTGGAAACCTCAGTGATACTAACTTCCTGCATCCTTAGCAACTGCTCTCCTGTAACCCCATTGTACTTAGACCCTCCTGGAAGGAAGGGGTTAGCAGAAATTCTGCAGCCTTGTCCTTGGATGATTGTGCAAACAGCTAGCTCTTAGGCTGCAGAACCTCCCTGGAACCAAGAGCAGCTTCAGAGGCCTTGACACCTGCTCTGGGATTGTTCATTTGCTTCACTTTATAGCTAAAGAGGAAGGTTTACTCTGGGCCCAACTTGTCACACCAAATGCCAGGACAACCTAGGTGGAGCTGACCTGGCGACAGACACAGCCTCACAGCTCTGGATTAAACCAGAGCCTCAAAGCAAGGGTTCTTAACTTGGGGTATATGGAGAAGCTTCCAGAGTTCATAAAACCCCTAAAATGGTGAGTGGGGTGCAAAATCTCAAGCTATGTGTACCTCTCTGGGGAAGTGAGCACAGCTTTTATACATTCTCAGATAGGTCTGTGACCCCCTCAAAGTTAAAAAAAAATAAACACTGCCCCAAATTGTGGAATTGACTTACTCCGAATGTTGTGTACAGGGGCCCCTGTGGGAAGCCGCAGAAGTGTTCCAGTTCATAACCTGCAGCTCTTCTCAAACCTCATCAGTGCAGTTGGGTAGTAAGAAGATGCCAAGGTCATTTGATAGGTTTAAGAAAACACTGAATTAAAGCTCAGCACGCCCCTGTTCTTCGGTGTAGCAACGTGGAAGACCTGGAAATGTTCCCCACAAGGCTGCCTTTGCTGGGACACATTTTCAGAGCCTACAGGCCATTCTTCAACAGCCCTTCATTTTTATTTATTTATTTATTTGAGACAGGGTCTCACTCTGTCACCTGGGCTAGAGTGCCATGGCATCAGCCTACCTCACAGCAACCTCAAAATCTTGGGCTCAAGCGATCCTCCTGCCTCAGCTTCCCAGAGTGCTAAGATTACAGGCATAAGCCACCATGGCCGGCCCATGTGATTGTTTTTTGTGTTTTTTTTTTTTATAGACAGGGTCTTCCTCTGTTGCCCAAGCTGAGTGCAGTGGTGCAATCATAGCTCACTGTATCCTTGAACTCCTGGGCCTAAGCCATCATCCTTCCTTGGCCTTGCAAGTAGCTAGGACTACAGGCACGTACCACCACACCCAGCAAATTTTTCTTATTTTTTGTAGAGATGGGGTTGCCCAAGCTGTTCTTGAACTCCTGGCCTCAAGTGATCCTCCCACCTTGGCCTCCTAAAGTGCTGGCGTTACAGGCATGAGCCACCGCACTCAGCCAGTTATGTTTTTGATCTATGAAAAATAAGGATAATCCAAATGATTATGTAGATAAAACTATTTCAAAAAGTGGTAACTGTGGTGGGGGTGGCAGCAGGGTAAAGGGGACTTTGGCTGTGATAAGGCTCGAAGCCACTTTAAGGAAGTCTCTAAGGAAAGATGCACAGTAGACTACTCTTGGGGGTGGGCAAAGGGGGTTGACTCCTGAAAGGGTTTCCAACCCGTACCACTGGGACAGCAATGGCTGCGGAACCCTTGAATAATACAGCAACTCCTGTAAATTGGAAAGTGTGTGGCATTGCATTGTACCCACTGCTTTGCTCAGCAGAGCCCAGGCCCTGGGCCTACTTAGGATTCTGTTATTCAGGGCCACCTGCCAAGACATACCTTAAATCAGGTGGGGCTGGAGATAGCTGTCTGGAGGGAAGCTCTAAAAACGCCCTGTCCAACACACACACATCGAGTGACCTCTGTTAGGCCGTAAGGAACTTTCCTTGGTGGTTGGCCCAACCCTCTCCCAGGAAACTAAAGCCTGAGGTGACCTGTCTGAAGTCTCACGGCAGTCAGTAGCGGCACCGGGGTGAGCGTTCTTTTCACCAGCCACTGCCACCTGCCGAGGACACCTTGACCAGCAGCCAAAAATAAAGGGAGGGAGAAAACCAATGTCAGAACCAGCCTGCGAGTGGATCAGTGGAGAGGCCTCCGTGGCTCAAGAGTCCCCGGAAAAGGACAGCAGCGGCAACTTCCCAGGAAATCCCTCTGAGGGAGGAGAAGGGAAGGAGGAATACAGATAAATTTATTAGTTAAATACTGATTTTACAGCCATTTCACCTTAAGACAATGTTAACAGGTTTGTGGGGTAGGGAGGGTATATGAGGTGGCCTTCAGGAAGAAAACAATGTAAATGATGATTAAAACAGAATCTTGGTTTAAAGATATTCTCTGCTACAGCCAGTAGGATTTTGGAGTGGGGGGCTGGGTGTTTTGGGTGGGCGTAGTAACGCCACAGTCAGCCACAGCTCTGCTGATAACAAGGACGTGGAACAGTCTTCGTGAGCCCCAGTATCCTGGCAGGAACTGAGCACCGTGCGGAGGAGAAGGCGGCCAATTCCAGAAGGGGCAGCGCTGGAGACTCTCCCCAGGCCCACCCTCAGCATCTTCTAGTGTCTTCTTTCTTTCCATGGGTTTTATTGCAATTGTTTGCTTTGAATTTCTGTTGCAAAATCTCTGGCTTTTTGCCTCCTGGACAAAAGATTTCTGCTGGAAAAAGGACCCAAAGCCTGAGCACTTGGGGCCTCGGGCCGCCGTCTGGCCGAGAGGCCGTCTCCGCAGAAGAACAGCAGCCCCGGCAGGATCTGAGAGCCCCTGAGCAAGTCCTCGAAAAGCCCCTGCCCCCAAGCACGTGGTGTTCACCAGACACCTCTCCAGAAGGGTCTCGAGGGTTAGGAGAGTGTTTGCCAGGCTTGAGCAGCAGGACCCCTCAGTGTGTGGCGGGGTGAAGGAAGGATGTTGGGGCACAGACTGAAGGGGGTGCTGTCCAGCTAAACTACTGAGCTCTTGCTTTGCCAAGGGAGAGACGCGTCCAAGCTGAAGGCAGAGCTGAATCGCTCAGAACAGTGGGAGGGATTTTTATTTAAAAGGCCTTGGAAGTGGAGAGAGGACGGAGCAAAGGATCAAGCCCACAGCAGGGGAGGAGCCTGGGGGTGAAGGTGCCAAGCCGCGTTTGGACGAAGCTCTGTGATGTGGCGGGTGAAGTGGCCCCCATCTCCCCAGGAAGCGTTCAGTAACATCTGTGTTACCTTACGCACAATATCGTGGAGTCAGATTTGGCAGGGGGGACGCGGGGACGTTCCATGCCTCAAGGGGAGTGTTGGGCAAGGGCAGGGTCGCCCAAGAGGCTGTCACATCCACGCACGTGTCAAACAGGTGCCCTCCTTCAGGCCGGACGGAGCAGGGGTCCCAGGCCCCTGCCCCTCCCCACCCTCAGATCCTGGGCAACGGGAACCCGATGGAGAAACCACCGTCTCAGGCCACAGCAGTGAAAGAGCAGGGGAGAAGGACATCATGTCTCTCATCAGAGACAGGGCGGGGGGAGAATGGGAGAGAAGTCTCCCATGCAAGGCATGGAGAGACGTCGTGTGCTCGCGGTGGAGGGTGGGCTCTTCTGTGTCAGAGTCTGGGCTCTTCCCAGTCCCCCACCTTGAAAAGGCATCCGAGAAAATCCAGCACCCACTGCCCCAACCAGATCGGTGACTTCAAGTTTCTTCCCAGTTGTTCTTCTGGAGTCATTCTCAGGCAGAGGAGCCCGAGCCTGGATCTCTGCTGTCCTCCAAGTCCCAGGTCCGTGCAGGAATTTAGGAGGGAAGAAGGGGAGATTACGCAGTGATTATGTCCCCGTGACTGTCAGCCAAGACCAGGCTGTTCCAAGAGTCCTGCTTGGAGCTGCCCTGCGGGGACTGGCTGACGGGAGACGCATAGCCTTGTGGGGAGAGCTTCAGGGCCGAGAGGACCGGGTGGATGGAGGGCCCGTGGCCGGACATCGTGCTGACCGAGAACGTCTGAAAAGCAGAAAGTGCATGATGAGGGAGGTCTGGGATGCGGAGGGGAGCCCGCTATGCAGGCGACCCCGGGATGGCTCGGACCCCAGGGAAGGGCTGGGCAAGGGAGCAAGGAGCGCATCTCTGCTTTTCCCAATCCCCGCCATCTGGGCGCAGAGGGTCTGGGTGACTCATCAGCTGCTTCTGAGCACAGTACACAACCTGGGCTGTGCCCCAGCGGGTTTGCGGATATTGTGGCTTCTCAGAGGGCTCTGACAGTTACGCAAGACATCGTCTACAATCCTGTCACCCTCATGTCTCCACTTCCAAACAGAGAACCTGCCGGCCAAGCACCGGGTTCTCCCAGGCAGAAAATAGCTCGTTAGGACACAGCCTCTCTCGAACGCAGAGGAGAGAGCAGAGTGGAGCCTGCAAAGAGAACCCCTGATCCTAAAGAAGGGGACCTGCAGGGAAGCAGGGACGCCACCAGGTCATCTGCAAGAGGGAGATGGGGCCACTGCTGGGCCATCCTTTGACACACGTATGGAGCTGGGCCTCATGAAATGGCATCCTGCCTATGACCTCCCTGCAGCCCCCACCCGCCCACCTGCCTTTGCCCGTGCCAGGGGCTCCTCCTGCCCCACCTCCTCCTGACAAAGTCCTTCAAGGCCAAGATCTAACCTCCGCTCTCTGACTTAGGGGACAGACTTGCCTAGAGACACCCGCCCCACCGCTCTGCCTCCCGTCGGCCCCACATGGCAGTCTGATTCTGGCTGCAGTGGCGTGTTCTCCTCCTCCCCCTCCCCCAGTGCTGTGTGTGGCCCCTGGACTCCTCTTTCCTTGTCTCCAAAGGTCGCGGCACAGAGGAGCTGCTAAACATTTGTGTGCCGCAGCTATGTGTCCGATCGCAGTAGCTGCTGAGATGTTCTGAAAGACAGCCTTGTGCAGACGCCCCTCGCCTTGGGGTGTGGGGGGCCTGAGGGCAGGAGGCCCTCAGCCCTTTTCCAGCCTGAGGGCCGCTCCTGCCTCATGCCAGACTGGCCCCCGGGACGCTGCAGCCCGCCTCCCCGCATCCTCCCCGCATCCTCCCGTACCTGGGACATGGAGCTGCTGTGTCCGTAGTGGGACGGCAGGCCGGGCTCTGTCTTGATGGGGCGCATCTCTTCGCTGCTGCTGCTGCTGCTGGGGGCGTTGCTGGAGTTGCTGGAGGCGCTGCTGCTGGGAGGAAGGCTCTCACTGCCCGGAGGACCTGGAACAAGGCAGAGTCAGGACACCAGACCAGGGGCAGGGACAAACGCATGGCGGCCCTTTGAGACAGCCGGGAAAGGTCCGCAATAAGGGCTCTATTTACGTTTGCTGGGGAGAGAAGCGGGGGTCCTTATCAGTGAGGGGACAAGAGTTCTCAAGATGGGGTAGAAGTATCAGAATTCCAAAGGGACTTTTTCAGAGGACGGGCCCACACTTTCCCCACCCCAGATCCCAAACTCTTGAGGCCACATGTGTTCAGGATTCAAAACTTTTTAAAATTAAAAAAAAATGAAAATACTGTATATCATAGGGTATCTGCAGTGGGGTCGGGGCAACACCCCATAATTAAAGGTATGAGTATCTCTACAGTAAAACACATGAATATTCACGCTAAGTGGGATAAACAGAGCCTATAAATGGCCTCGTATCTGTTCAGATTAAGTTTTGCTGCCAAATCTGGTTTCCTGGCTGACAGATCAATCTTTCAGGAATATTATTAATGGGACCCTGTCCTCCCAGATCCTGCCCCAGAGGGGCTTCAAAGGAATTGAGTATTTGGGTGGCCATAGCACCCAAGACAAAGGGACCACGTGACATTCGTCTTTCTTTCAGGCCCTCGACTGCTCGGCCGGCCCCGTGCAGTCTTTGCAGCTCACAGTAATCAGGCCACAACCTGAACTGAACCTGTTCCAAAAGCTCCCAATATGCTCCCTGGCAATGTTATATTTTTACTGAGTTACTCATTCCATCCTGAAAAGCCAGGGATGGGCGTCGTTGTCATTGCCCCTCGGCAGCCTGGGCTGGCCTGTCTGACCAAGGATGCGTGATTCTCACACACTCTGAGGGCTCCTGACTTATTAGTATAGTTACACAGGTCTTTTCCTCACCTGCTGGTGTCTTAGATTTATTAAGGTTCTTGGGCTTCCGTTTTCTCGTCTGAATCCCCTCTTTCCGCATCGCAAGAGGCCTGGGGACCTAGAGGGTCACAAGTCAATATAAATGGTTTTGCATCTACACACAATCTGCTACAGTACTGAGGCAGGACATGCACACTACAAGAAGGCAACATCTAAGCAAGCTCTGCACAAACCCTGGGGCTGAGACGGGGTGCACAGGCCCCTGGAACTCCTGCTGTGAGAAATCAATTCCATGTTAAAATGTATTGAGCACCTGTGTTCTGTGGTGGGCATTTTACTAGCGCCTGGAGAAGGAGACAATGAAAGACACAGTTCCTTCCCTCCAGAAGTTCATGGTTTAGTGGGAAACACAGACAAGCAGAAATAAGCAGACTCTGGTAAGTGATGTGGGAAAACAGAGAAGAAACACTAAACACTGCCCTGGGTTGGGGAGAAACACGAGGCTATCAAGGAAGGCTTCCCCAGGGAGGTGATGCCCAAGGTGTAAGAGGTTTTGAGTAGACAAGGGACAGACATTTCAGTTAGCAGATGTGCAAAAGTCTTTATCATCCACACTCGAACACTGAAAATAAAAAGGGAGTGCAATTAACAATTATACTGGGAAAACAGGCCTGAGCAGTGACAGTCCCAGTGAGCCAAGACATAAAGTCACTGTACTTAGAGCAAGCAGCTCTGCACTGCGCTGGGCCTGGCTGGAGCCCGCGGTGGGGTGTCCACGGGAGGTGGGGAGCAGCAAGAGATTATGGCAAAGAGACTGCCCTGTGGCCAGTTCCTGGGACAAACTGTCTGTGGACAATGTTTTTACGACAGGTCGTCTTTCCAGTATTTTTAGATATTGTGCCTTCCCCACCTCTGGTTTCTCTTAGGCCAGGCCAAATCTTTTATCCCTGGTCTGTTCTATGCTGGTCTACCACGTGGGATTAATAAAGACTACGCCTGCAAATATGGAAAGGAAAGCGATTACTGCTTCAGAGACACAAACAAGAAATGGTTAAGAGAGAAACGCACCAGCGTACATGAACTTGAACTTGCCTACTACCCAACGGCAGATGAGGCGGCATTCCCACCGGCACCCGCCCATCATCTGCCCATGACTCAGCCATTCCGCATTCTTTCCCGCCCCCGGAGGAGGGCGCCCTCCCGACCTCTGCCATTTGAAAGCCCATCCTCAGCTCAGAAGACTTTGCCCTCATGTTTACCCCACTCACTTAGGTACACCTTTTTTTCAATACACATAACATAAAATTTACCACCTTAACCATTTTCAAGCATGCTGCTCAGCTGTATTAAGCACCTTCACAGCGTTCTGCAACCATCACCACCATCCATCCCCAGAACTCTTTCCCTCTGGCAAAACTGAAGCTCTGTACCCATTAACACACCAGCTCTCCAACCCTCCCCACCCCGCGGCCCTGGCAACCCCAACTCTGCTTTCTGTCTCTATGGTTTGACTACTCTAGGGACCTCACCTAAGTGGACGCATACACTGTCTTTTCATGACTGGCTTATTTCACTTAGTATAATGTCTTTGAGGTTCATCCATGCTGTGGCATGGCCAGAATGTCCCTCTTCTTCAGGGCTGAATAATATTCCACGGTGCGTACGTATCGCATTGTGTTTATCCATTCATTCATCCACAGACACTGAAGTTGCTTCCATCTTTTGGCTATTGTAAATAATGCTGCTGTGAATGTACAAATATCTCTTTGAGGCCCTGCCTTCAAATCTTTTGAATATATTCCCAGAAGTAGTATGCTGGGTCCTACAGTAATGGTAATTTTGGGGTTTTTTTCTGTTTGTTTTGTGGGGGTTTTTTTTTTGAGGATACTTACTACTTTACTTATTTATATACAGACAGAGCCTCACTCTGTCACCCAGGCTGGAGTGCAGTGGTGCCATCATAGCTCACTGCAGCCTCAAACTCCTGGGCTTAAGTGATCCTCCTGCCTCAGCCTCCAAGCCTGGCTATTTATTATTTTTTAATTTTTATTTTTTTAGAGACAGTGTCTCGCTATGTTGCCCAGACTGGTCTCGAACTCCTGGCCTCAGGCGATCCTCCTGCCCCAGCCTCCCAAGCAGCTGGGACTATAGGCATGCACTGCCATGCCCAGCTAAATTATTTCTACCTTTAACAGAGATGGGGTCTCGCGCTTGCTCAGGCTGTGAAAGCTGCCTTTTTAAAATAAAAAGCACTATATGATGGATATTGTTCCATATCAGAATGTAAAGAGCTTCATAGAAGCTCTTTGTACTCTGAAAATATTAACCCTTTCTCTGATGCCGTGCACACTGGCTTTTACTTTCTTTAGGTGTCATTTCCAGACACTAATATTACATGTTTATACAGTCAGATACATCCAACTTTTCTTACGTGGCTTAAGAGCTTGAAGAACTTGCTTAAGAAGTTCTCCTACTATCCCCAAGGTTAAATCAATCCTTCCCCTTACATATCCTTCTGGTATATGTATTGCTCGGTATTTTTATTGTGTTTAATTAATTTCCTAGTTAATATTTTATTGTCTAATATTTTTATTTTATTTCAAAGAAGTTTACATTTAATATCTTTAATTCACCTGTTTATTTTTGTTTAAGGTAGGACGTAGGGGTCATGCTTTGCTGTTTTCCCGTGAATAGCCAGTTATGTCAATGCAATTATTCTTAAACAAGCTATCCTTCTACGCACTGAGTCGAAACGTCACCTTCGTCACATATCATGCTGCTATACACCATACATATGTACATACCTAGGCTCCTCACGTGTAACATGAGAATTCAATGTTAAAGAGAGAAAAGACCAGCAAAGTTGTGAAGATTCCCTTCCAAATCTAAGTATCTTTGTTAAGATGGAGGAATGAATTCTAGTCTGAATAGAAGACAAGTGAGAACGGAGAAATGGGAATGAAGGCGCGTGGGCACCCTGCCCGGCAGAGCTAGGCGACGTGTGGTGTGCGGGGCCCGGGTCCACTTACGCCGTGGAGCTTCATGTAGAGGCCGCAGGCGTTGCACACGGGCTCGCCCTCCGCATTGCGGCGCCACAGCGTGGTGGTGGTCGTCTGGCAGTTGGCACAGGAGAGGCCCACTCGGCGGGAGGCAGACTGCAACACAGGAAACAAACCCTTCACGCCCAGGGAAGAGGTGGGCACTGCCCTTCTACCTCACGCGGAGTGGCGGGGCCGGGCCACCCGAGTGGGTGAGGCCGTGATGGCCCCGTGTGAGACCTGTGACCAGTGACAGCACCTGACTCTCCCACTACCTAAGCCACCCCTAGGAGTGCATGCAAACAAGACTTCTTTTTTTTTTTCTTTTTTTTTTGAGACAGAGTCTCACTCTTATCACCTGGGCTAGAGTGCCGTGGCATCAGCCTAGCTTGTAGCAACCTCAAACTCCTGGGCTCAAGTGATCCTCCTGCCTCAGCCTCCTGAGTAGCTGGGACTACAGGCATGTGCCACCACACCTAGCTAATTTTGTCTATTTTCAGTTGCCCAGCTAATTCTTTCTTTTTATTTATTTATTTATTTATTTTTTTTATTTTTTAGTAGAGACAGGGTCTCACTCTTGCTCAGGCTGGTCTTGAACTCCTGACCTCAAGTGATCCTCCTTCCTTGGCCTCCCAGAGTGATAGGATTACAGGTGTGAGCCACTGCGCCAGGCTAAAAACAAGATTTCTGCTTCCCGAGGAGAGTGAATTCAGGCACTGAAGACCTGGTTTCTATTCCTAACTGTCATTCGACATCACACGAATAACCCGGCTAACACTGGGCACTGTGGGCAGAAAATCTTCTTCCAGAAGTAGAACTAGCATTGGCTTCAGGTGCCAGGTGCAGGTGGTGGGTGAGGAACTACTGTACCCAAATGCTATGAAAGATCGAATGGCTTTGGGACTCAAGAAACGGAAGCACAGGGCTTGTTCCCTCTGCTCCTCCGTCCCTAACATTCACAGAAACCAGTTGATGTTGTTCAAAATCGAATTACATTAATAAAGAGTATGAAACCAGGGGCCTAAAGTCTGGGTCTCAGGCCCACACTTCGCTGGCATGGGGCCAAGACAAGCTATTTAACCTTCCTGGGCTTTGGGTTTTATCAACTAAACAGGGTAAATAAAGAACAGCCTCTGTTGAGGTTGCTCATAGGGGTGAAGTGAATGGAGGAGACACTCAGGACAATACCGGATTGGAAACCAGGGAGCCTGGATCCTGGGTGGAGACAGGAGACTCAGTAGCTGTGTGCCTGGGGGTGAGACCGTTAGCTTCTCTGACTCTCACTTTCCACGTCTGCATATCGAAGGGTTGAACTAGATGGTCTGGGACCTCCTTGTAGCTCCAGCTAACCCCGAATGGTGTGAGAAGTTACTATGGTGTCCCCACCCACCTAATCCCTCGACCCACACCCTTGAATTCCAAAATTCAAAACCAGAGGATTTCCCACCAAGGAGGGAGCCCTGCAGCTGGGGGCCGGTGAGGTCCCTGCTTACCAGACGGCGCTGGGGTTTGATGAGTGGCCGGTTGATGCCGTTCATCTTGTGGTAGAGGCCGCAGGCGTTGCACAGATAGTGTCCCGTCCCATCTCGCCTCCAGAGTGGGGTGGACATGGCCCCACAGTTGACACACTCTCTGCCTTCCGAGAAGTCGTCAAACATATCTACTGGATAGAGGAGAAACAGACGAGAAAGACACAGGGAATTAATTCTTTGTTTATGCTCAGCACTCTTACATCTGGGAATCTAGAACTCATAGAAATAATGCCCTTTCCTCAGAAGGAGGAAAGGCTGTCCGTCCTCATGCCGACCCCAAGTCCTGGAGCAGCAGCTCACAGGGCTTCGATGGGAAGTGGACGATTTCACTCTGGCTGTCCCAGACACAAGTCCTTCACGCATGAGCAAAGGACGAGCCCATCACAGGGATCACCAGAGGCTGGGCTGGGAGATGGGTGCCCGGACTTCAGCCCAGATCTTACATTCAGAGCCTCCAGCCTCGGGCTCCCACCTAACACTGAGGTCCACTCAGACCTTTCTCTCTCTCTCTCTTTTTTTTTTTTTGCCTTTTAAAAATTAAGATTACTTTCCCTTTGAATAAAATTATAATAAATATTTACTTTAGGAAAATCAGAAAGTATCAAAATGTATAAAGAAAATATAGATTGTCGCCAACGTTATGAACATTTTATTCTACTATATCCTTTGCAAGTTCTCAGAATTTCCAAAACTGTCCTGCAAAAAAGCCTTCACTAGTTCATCATGCCTATCGTAATATACACGTATGGCTGCTGTATCATAGTTTGACATTTTTTTTTGCTTATTGGTACATAAAATATAGGTGATTATTATTATATAAGCAAGGCCACCTTAGAGCTGCTCTGAGGGGCTGAGCGTTGCCCCTCCCACCAGAGGCTGCCTTGGTTCTCCACTCCCCTTCACTCCTCCCTCCCTGTCACCTTTATCTTCCACGTCTGCAGAATGTCACAACTGACAAATTCCACTTGTGTCCACTCCCTTTGCCCTGGTAAGACAGGCTGGGCCAGTTTTCTTATTCCCTGTGATCTGTTATACAGAAAGCCTGACTCAGAACTTCCACAAGTCTCTGACTCCCTGCCATCCTAATTTTCTGTCCCTAAACACAACCACCTTGGTCTCCAGACCATTCTTGTCCTGCCGCCAGAGGAAAGGTAGATTCTTCTCCAGTGAAGGTGGTGGGGGGAGTTCTGATGGGGGTGGCGTGAACATTAAAGAGCTCTCCCTCCATTGGGACTCAGCCCAGGGGTTTACGGAGGCGCGTTTTGCTAGTTCTGTGGCCCAGCTACCTGCTCTAAAGGAATGTGGGCTGGAGAAGAGGATGGTGGGGAGCCCTACCCCCAACTCTGGGTACACAAACAGTCATCTGCACCTGCAAACAGGTAGCCGTGTGTCCGCACCGAGTAAACAATGTGCAGGTGTGAGGGGCTGTTTGCTCAGGCCAGGGCGCTGCCGTCACAGGAGAGGCTATTTTTACACCTGGGTCACACTGAGGGCCCTATACCAAGGTCACCTGCCTTCAAAGCGGCACATAAAACTGCCATCCAAGGCTTACTCCCACCTGGACCACGTCAACACCGTCATCGCCACCTCCACAACCCTTGCCTGTGGCCCGTCAGACCCTCCCCGGACTCCTAGAGAGGCCAGGAGTCCACAGAAGGACCAAGCCAACCCCGCACCCGGAGGGGAGCGCTAGCAAGGTTGTCATTTGATGGGTGCCTCAATAAACACTAGATGGCGCTGCAGTCTCAAAGTTGAACCAAGATGCTGCATTCCAGCCTCAATCACGCTTGGAGACGGGGGACTTTTCACATCTTTCCAGTCCAAACCTAGTGCAACCCTCTTATTCTACTTTTCTTCATTACAAAAAAAATTCAGACACATTCAGAAGTGGACAGAATATTTAAATGAACTCATTTACCCATCATCCAGCTTCCAAGAATGGGTAGTCAATCTTGTCTTACCTACCCCTCCGCCCACTTTCTCCCGTATTGAATTTTTAAAGAAAATCCCAGACATTCTATCGTTTTATTCATAAATATCTTAGCACGTTGCTCTGACAGATGAAGATTCACACTCTTCTTTTAAAAATAAGTAAACCAGTTTCTTTCCTATGCTCTAGTTCATTTAAATTCCACAGTCCGAAATCTCATACTCTGTTCCTCTTTTTTGGAGGGAAGATTCCCTTTTCTCTTTACATTCGTTGTTTCGTACTCAGGGACAGAATCATATTAAAGGACCCAGCAGTCCCGGGGAGTCTCCTCTCTGCTGATCACTCATCTTCCACTGCGGCCTCGAGAACCCAACACAGAGGTTTGCCGCGGGAACTCCTCCAGGCTGGCCTCAGAGCCGGGATACACATTCAAGCAACTATCTTACTGGCCGGGTAAAGTCACTGGAGACTGGCAAATTTGTATTTGTCACTGACAAATATTTACTGAGCATCTGCTATTTAATCATAGATGTCACAGGAGCTAAGAGGGAGCCTTGCTCTCCCAATGCTAATGATCTGGTCCCTGCATTGGACCTGCATATCTGTAGTGAGCAACGCTACTCAACTCATTTCCAGAACATACCCTCGACTGAGCTGGCGACTGGTGGCAGACACCACTTGTCTAGGGTAGGAAGTGCAGACGTCCCACCCGCAGAGAAGTCCCACTGCCACAGAAGGGCCAGGTGTCACAACAGCAGTGGAGGAAAAGTCAGACAACCCTTTGCACCTCCAAATTTGCCTCAGTTTCCTTATTTTCTACCACAAAATCTTGCTATCCAACCTGCTCAATGAAATGTTACCTAAATTTTTTTAATGATTATTATAAAGACAATGTATCCATAGAGGAAAATGCTTTCCCCATGATGTTAAATGAAAACGGCAGCACAGAAAACGCTGTGTTGGCAGCTAAGATTACCAGGCAGCAGCTTTTATTAGTCTATAAATTGCGTGGACTTTTCTTTTTCTGTAATGTCATAATTGACTATTTTTAAAAATCTGATTAAAAAACAGAAGCACAAATCTGTGCATTTGTACCCCTTAAATTTATACCAAGAAAAAAATCTGATCACCCCAAGTAGCTCCCGATCTATACAGCGGAGGGTAACGTTTTACCCTCTTACATCTGACACATATATATTTTTCCTGGGCTGAGGAATGGAGAGAATGAAGCTGCAACCTGGCTGCTGAGCACCTACTCTGGGGGAGGTGGGGGTGACAGGCTGAGCCCCAGACCAGCACCACCATCTGGTGTGACCCTTGGTAACAACTGCTGCTCATTCCTTCCAAGGAAAGGCACTGGGTGGGACTTCCCCAGGGCAAGTGTGATTCCTCAGGCAGGGGGCACAGCGGAGGCCTCTGACCTCAGCCCCACCCACCGGAGCTGGGCATCTGGGCACTGGTTCAGTCTCGTGGGAGGCAGTGGGAGTCCAGCCTGGAAGTGGGTGGCATCACCCCACATTTGGAGGGCAGACTTGTAATAATAGTTGTAAAGTGCTTTGCAAATGAGAGGAAAAACTTACAACAATGGCTGTAAAGAGCTTTGCAAACACCACATGAGATAACAGTGATGGATTATTGTTGGGAGGCTGGGGCTGCAGGGTTGGGAGGGAGGGCGTTAGGCCAGGCACAACCCTTGGTGCTGGGTTATTGGGGAGGGGGGAGGACAAACAAAAGAGCTAGGAGATTCGGGAATCTGACCTTTCTCAAACTGTCCCAACAGGGGACAGCACTCCCCCAGGCTCAGCACTGCCTAGGGCTCAGACTCCACCAAGCTTGCCATGCCGGCCAGGAGCCCAGGGACAGCAAGGCTTACTGTGTGTGCTTAGGTCTCCAAGTCCTGCTCATGGGATGTATTCATCAATGATTATTTTAGCAATCGAAAGCACAAAATGAATTGTGTCCTAACCCCAAGGATGGGGGAAAAACTCGCTTTCATCCATGCCCTGCTTAAAAATTAAAAAAAAAAAATTTTTTTAAAGGAGGGCACAAACTGAGCCGTATTTCTTAGACATCCAGTACAGCGTGGCTATTGCTAGGAATCAAGGCCAACTACTCCTGTCCAAGGGCCTGAAAGAAAAATGTAGGGCAGGAGGTTGAAGGACCCCACCCCCAACTTCCTACAGTTGACGCAGAGGCTCCGACCTTATCCCTGACCTGCTCCGTCCATCTTGGGGACCCACCCGCCCCGCTAAAGAGCGGTTAGCAAATCAGGGACGGGGAAGGAAACACAGAGGAGGAAGGGAGGGAGAAGAAAGGAAAGAAGCCAGAGGCCAGGGTCTGGGTTGGCAACACCCTCTAGGCACTGCACTAATGCTGGGTTTGTCTCCTGCCTGCTGGGGAGGAAGCTCAGGCTGCCACTTGTGTGCCAGCCGTCCCACGGGTGCCATGGAGCCCGGTCTGTGTGTGTCCCTCACACCTTCCCCCGAGCTCATGTTGGAGAGACCCTCACCTGCAGCCCAGAGGCAGAGGTGATGCGCTCTCGGCCCCGCCACTGTTCTGTGGAGGGCATTGGAGCTCAAACATTTGCCATGTGTCTGCTATACTTGCCCCTGTAGTAAGTGCTGGACATACAAACATGTTAGAAAAATTGGGGCTAAATCCCTGCCCGGAGTTGTTTTGGTATAGCTCGGGATACACAACTCAAAACCAGCAATTACATTAAACGTGCCAAATGCATCGAGCCTGGGCCTCCTCCCTGGCCCCCAGCCCTCCACTTCCAGCTTCAGATCTTCGGACATTCAGGGAAGGAAGACACAGAAACACAAGGAAAAGTGTCCATGCCCAGTGCAGCTGGTCACTGCTACAAAATGGCGGCTGCAGGGAACTCAGGGGACCCAAGTCAGGGGGGGCTTCCTGGAAAAAGCCAGACCCAGCCTGAGGCTGCCCGCCCAAAGGAGACCTTCCCCCAGGAACCAAGTCCCGGCCCCACCCAGATGTCCCTTGCTGAACTCCAGCCACAAGTCCCATCCAAAGTTCACCAGAGACTGAGCCTGGATTTCCCGACAGGCCCAGATTTGCCCCTGCGGCTGGCGCCGAGGTCTGGGGTGCAAGGAGCAGACAGCGCCGAAGTTTTCCTGGCAGCTCTTGAGCCTCAGGTCTTCTGGGCTCTGTCAGGCTCAGGCAGATGCCTGTGATGGGGCC